GGGGGGTACGGGTGTACCGGGGGGCGGCGAGGCGCTGGCGCTACCCACGGAACCGGGGTCGCTGAAGCCCTGGGTGCTGTTGTTCTCCTCCGGGCCGTCGAAGAAGCTCAGGTTGAACTCACTGCCGGCGTCGAATGACACTTCCGGCGTGAGGGTGTCCGGCGCCGGCGCGCTGCCCAAACCCGCGCTCAGCGACTGATCGAGTTTGAAAACGTCCATTGTACGGGCATCGAGCGTACGTACGAGCGATCACGGCGTCGGCGACGCCGGCGGCGAACAGCGTGGTGCACGTCGCGCTTCCTGCCGATGCTGCCGATGCTGCCGATGCTACCGTCTGCGGCATTCAGCATTCGCGCGCGCCTGCCTTCTCGATCCTTGTCTCGACCTCTCGACCACGGTGATTCTCGACTCGATCCACGGACTTTCCAGGCACTTTCGCAGCTCTCGCGAAGAGAACGAGAGAAACTCTCCTCCGTCACTCTCCTCTCGCGAATCTTTGAAAATCCCGACTCCCCGAGAACTGAATGACGTTGATTTTTAATCACGATTATCCTACGAATTATCCATCGATCCTTGACAGTGACAGAAAAGGTGAAGAAAACGTCGTCACTTTCCTTGAATCTTCAAACATCCATCACGTACCAGCTTCTCGATAACAGAGTTACGTGTCGGTCGAACTTTCTTGATGATAATAAAGTGGATATCGTTTAATAAGCTCGTTTAATTATTCGAGGCTTGATACTTCGCTCGATATACTGCGAAACTTGTTCTAACTTCGTTCGGTTAAACTTTCCCCTTCGTTACTTGTACACAAACCGGTGGAACGCTATTTCAGTCGGTAGATAACATCTTTTATATATCATATATAAGGCGTTTCTATTGAAGAGCGATGCCTCCGTCGACGCGTCGCGTAAGTTAAACCGGCATAACTCGCAGGACACGTCGAGCGTCATTAGTGAAACGGTTTTATTGCGACAGGATATCCTGTATCTCGATAATTTATCCAGCATTTCATCAGGCGTCTTCTGAGAAACGATATCTTCTTTTATTTTTTGTTTAACAGACCGTTTTATTGTCGATTTTGGCGAGCATAACGTGTCTTCCCGCTCGAGTTTGCAGTCGTCGTCGTCGTCGCGTCGTCGTCGTCGCCGTCGTCGTCGTCGTCGTCACTACTCGTCTTTCTCGTAACTTCGCGGGGTCCTCGAACCACGAGTAACGTTTCCTCGTTTCCTCGCAGGTATTACGCCTCTCTCCGTCTATCTCGCGGCCACTCTTCCCCGGCTTCGCGTATTTGCATTTACACCGCTGGTTAATAAGATTTAATTCGATCACAGCCGTAATGGCCGCGCGACGAATGCGATGCGACGAGCGCGATAAAAGTTGCGAGTGGAAGATTACGCTCCCGAGATTTCCTCGCGAATGTATAAATAACGGACGGGATGTGCGGACGATGAAGATCGACGATACACTCGATACGAATCGAACGAACAGAGAGAATGCGGGCGCGGTCGGTTTTGATGAGGGATAATTTTTAAAAGGACAACACTCTGCCGCGTTCACGGAAGTTCGATACTTTATCGCTGTTGTTGCTGGATTTCGCACTTTGTCACTTAACACCGGTTTCTTCGTCTCCTTTGTGTAATTAACGCATAATTTCCGACTATCATTCGTTAAGAACGTAGTCGACGTGAAAGTTGAAGAAGCTCATCGTCTCGCTGTGCTTCCATTTTAGCTTCTTCTTACGAATGGAGAACGCCACTCGAAAGTTCAACCCATTATTTTTGGGGTACGCGATCGACCGAGCGCCTTTACTCGTGATACGTCGTCCTTATCGCTCTTGTGGCTATTTTCTCTCTCCTTTTTTTCTCTCTTTTCTTGTTTCTTTCTTCTATCTCTCACTTTTCTTATACGGCGAACTTTTTTCTAGTAGCGCGAGCGCGGATTTGCCCGCCAATTTTTAATGGTTTACACGTCCATTGGCTTTTCACGTGAGCCATCTCGCTGAAAGATAAATCAAAACAAAAAGAAAATCAGAAACCAAAGGCAAAACAACGATATACACGACGCGGAAATAAAAAAATACAATTGCAAAATAATAAAGGCACATACATAAAAGGAGTCGCACGCAAGTACAATTTATCGATTTGTGAAAATTACGCGGGCGAATTATTGAAAAATATTGAAACGTGAAAGTTCATTTTTCATTTTAATTTGCTACATAAGATAAAATTTTTCATCTCTGAATAAATATTTAGTTAATTGATCTATTTAATTAATCATTTATTGTAGGAGGTACACAATCGAATTTTCGTATTTAAATATGCGAAAATTTAAGAAGTTAAGAATAGAAAGTTCAATAGACTAATTTAAATTTAAACTAACTTAAGAATGCGGAAATTTCATTTCTAAAATTATATGTTCCTCTAAGAAAGCAGTCCTTTCAAGTTAATATACTTGAAATGATAAAAATAAAAATAAAAAAGTTGAGACAATTTTTCAATTCACAGATAAAAATTTCTCAAATTTCACATGAGAAAGTTAAATATTTTATTTCTTGTTCATATAAACAGTTATCTAGTAGTTTCTTGATAATTTTAGTCTATGCATAAAAATATTAAGAGAAATTAATAAAAAAAAAGTGAATATTTTATGAGATTTTATGAGACAAATATTATAGAAAGGCATAATATCTTTATGTTAAAATGTGTCAGGATTAAATATGAAGTATTTCATAAAATATTCATTCTCGACCATCTCAGCTTAACATTTTTATATGTAAGACGATGACGAGAAAATTGATTTCTAAGAAAGTACGTAAAGTTTATTTCGGAAAAAAATTGAGAGCTACCATTCAGCTTTCAATTACAGTAATAGCTCCCTTTGTTCCAAGAAATCTCAACAAATAATAGCAAAAATTTTGTCCCTAATCATCCCTAACAGTTTCCAGGAAAATAATTTATAATAATGTAATATATTAACAGTAATTAATTCTTATATTTTTTTATTTTCGATACGATATTAAAAAAGGAAATTTAGTTGACATTCGAATTAAAAAAAGAAGCATGTAAAAAAATATTCATTGCTGTATCATGATCAACCAATAAAATTATGCGTCTTTTACTTTTTTTAAAGTTTTGTACCAATTTTTGCGTAAGAAAGATGACGAGTTTCAAAAAAAAAACTTTCCACTACGCCCAATTGTACCGAAAAACTTTAAATAACTTCCCAAGTTACTCCACCCTGTATATTCCAGTATTTTCGCACGATCGAGAGAGATGAGGACAGGGAATCGCCGGTGAATCGCGGGAGAAACAAGGAGAGGGCGGAGAGGAGAGAAAAAAAACTCGGAGAGCACGAGAGAAACACGAGGCAGAGAGTGAGAAAAAGTGAATGTCATTGCCGTAATCTTCGGACGTTGACTTCTTCCTGGCTCGTCCCTCCTTCCTCTTCTTGGTCACAACCTTCCTCTCCCCTTCCTCCGTTAACATCCACCCCTCTTCTTCCTCGTCGTTCTCTTTGTCGTTTCTCTCTCTCTCTCTCTCTCTCTCGCTCTCACTCTCTCACCTGCACGTTTCGCTTCGAATCCTCTCCTCCACCTCTCGCTAACTCATCTTTTCTTCCCTCCCGCAACATTCATTCCTCCCTTCCATCCCCTTGGCCAGCTTTGTTTTTCCGCCTCGCGAATTTCAAGTGTTTTGTGACAATTCACGCGCAGCTAGATATTCATCAACCGATACACAGACCGCAACGATCGAAACACCAATCAATGCGATGTAAATATATATAAGTGTTTTCAATTCGCAAAATCAAGAGGCTTGTCGTAAAGTTATTTATAATTATTTATTTGTTGTTTCAAACGACTGTCTGTAATAAGAGAATTGATGAGAACTAAAATAATTTCGATGAAAACTTTTCCATGATAGCTTCCCAGTGAACCTATTATGTACTTGTGACACGCGAATTGCGAATTAGCGTGTTTCTAATAGCTATATCGTGTATGTTTTCAGGTAATTGTGAATTTCTTTCGGAATTAGTTTATTGTTGCTATATAATCAATCTCCTTTAATCATAAATGGCGTGAAGATTATTTCAATTGGAAAATCGAATTTTTGGTATTTTTGCAATGTGTCAATAACTTTCCAATTGTTGAAAAAATTGTCAATATCCATGGTAGAATAGCCGAAAAAATAAGCGTTTTTTATCAAAAAGCTTTCGAAACGGTAACATAACTGTCCTTCGATGTTAGGACGATCAATTTGAGCCAATTTTTTACGAGGTCATGTTTTACGTAAAATATTTGGATTGACTTTCAGATTAAAATCTGAAAATTAAACATAAAATATAAAACTGCTAAATAATTTCTTCTCCACGCTTGTTTTCTTGTCAAATAATTTTTTACTCTACAAAAATCAGGAACCGATGGTATAATATATGAAACTCATAATTCTTATTTATTGTTTTTTCTTGTAATTGAAACTCATAATTCTTATTTATTGTTTTTTCTTGTAATATATAAGATTTTTAAGAAAATTCAAAAAAAGTTCTTGAAATATCTGAATAAAAGAAATTGATAAATTGGAGAAATTGAGAAATGTAGGCATTCAATTTTGTTTCAAGAAAAAAATTATTCAGAGATTTCGATTATAAGAAATATTATTTGTCGACCAAAAATGCATTCTCGTACAAAAGACTCTGTTCTTTCACTGATAGTACAAAACTTTTTTATAAAGACTTACGTATCGCAAGGAAAAAACTGATTCATTCAAGTCGATTGGGAAGAAGTAATTTTGTCCTCTTTAAATTGGGCGAATTTTGCCGGCGCGGCGACGAATTTCGCGGTCTCGCAGACGATCATTTGTCTCGCACATCGCCCGCTCGGTTCCGCGTTCCATCCGCGTCGCAAGTCAGTGCGTTCACCTTACGCTCGCTCGCGGAGATCTCGCGCGTGCGCGCGCGCGCGCACACGCGAGAGGATTTCTCTGGGAACGCGCGCGGCGCGGCGCGGCGCGATCGCGCCGAGCCACGTGCTCGACTGCTCGCGCGATCATCGAACGCCACCATCGAATCGATCCGCGGCGATCGACATCGCACGAAGACACGCTCCTCGCCGAGAAACCTCGGCATCATACGCTTCTCCCGACATCTCGCGACTCGTCTTTCGCGTATATTCTCTAACACAGGCTTAGAACATTTCGAGAGCTAAAGCGATTCAGGAGTGATATGAGAAAGAATAACCCGTTAACCAGTCAATCAACCCGTTGCTGTTTCTCCAACAATCGCTGAAATATATACAGTGAAAAACAGACGTTATGAAAGATCGTGACAGTCGATTTTCGCTACATCTATACAAGTTCGTCTCACTTATTGCTTTAATAAATATCTTAACGCTTAGTTTTTTATCTTATGGCCATTCTCGTCTCAAAAGTTATAATTACACTGTCTCGAATTTACTCTATGATTTACTTTGACGCAACACTTTCTCTCATCTTCCACTCGTCTAATCTGAAGCAATTGCGTAAAGGTTCGTGCTTATGAGATCTCCATTAAGATATATATATATTTAACAGATATTGAACAGCAGTGAAATAATAGTAATTTCATAATTTCCCGCAATCGACACCTCGAAACAACGCGGACTCGCTTCGCTTACTTGCCGCGCTTCCACGAGACAATGAGGTGTGAATGAAAGCGCAATGAACTTTTGCAATTTCCTCGGCAATTATCTCCCGCCGTATATAACTCGCATTGAATAAACGTGACACGCAAATTAATGCTGCACGTCCGTGAATTTAACCTGCACGAGCGGTTCCTAAACACTCACCGATATTTCGACTCTCTTTCGATAAGACTCACCACTGTATCGAAGTGATTTGGTCCAGCCCAGTGATATAATCCACGAGGAAAAGAAAGGCTCTCAACTGATTTCTTTTAGAACCCTTCTCGGCACCGGTGGACAAGTTTATTCACATTCACGAGTTTCTCGTAAAATCTCACGCAGATTCTCGAAACGTCACTTCGGAATCCTGAGGCACGACCACACTGATCCGGAGTGCACAGTCACATTCCTGGTTATCGCGTTGAAATAAAGTATATAAGACGTCGATAGTAGAAACCAATAGAGTTATCCTTTAAAATATCATTTCGTTCTAGAAAAGATATATGATATATATATATATATACTATCTCTCACGGATCTACTCGATCTAGACGTCGCCCTTCGATAAAAGATTCGCCATCGGATACCACTCACTGCCCCGACGAGATCGTCGTGATCGGCACGTATCGGTTCGGAGCCGGACAGTCGAGAGCACTCTGCTCTCGTCCGCAGATATCATCGAAAGGAATCGTCCACGTGATGGCGCAATCAAGCGGAAGCGGGCATTCCCGCAAGGATGAGGAAAAGACACGAGGAGCGCGTGGTGACACCCTATCGTGAAAGGTGTACAGGGTGTATACCAAGGGAGTTTAGGTAATTGTTTAGATAAGTACCGATAGTTAAGGACGGAACGTTTCGTCGCGAGAGCGTGCGCGATCACGTGGGTGCGCGCGATCCGCGAGCGTGCGGCGCGTCGAGCCCGCTCGTTCTCGCGCGAGTGCGGAGTGCCGGGAGTGGGCCCTCCGCCGCATGTTTCCCGTGCTCCGTCTCCCTCGATCGCACGGACGTGCTTCTCTCTTTCTCTCATTTGATCCCCTACCTTACGTTCTCTCCCTCGCGCTCACTCGCGAGCTCCGCGCACCTCTCTCTCTCTCTCGCCTCCCTCCTCCCCCTCCCCTCCCTTAGGACGACTCCTTCGTCCTCTCCCTGGTACAGTCGAGAGCGCTCACCTGTGAGGTAAGTAAAGCCGGCGTTCCGTCGTACATGTTACGACATTGCGCGGCGGAGAAGGGATGGTGGAAAGGGTGAGGAAAGAGGAGAGCCAACAAGGGAGAGAAAGAGAAAGAGTGAGGGGGGGGGAGGTGTACCTCTGAAGAGGGGTAAGGAGGTGGTTGGAGGTGGCGATGAAGGAGAAGGAGAAGCAAAGGGGAATACCAGGAGGGTGGACGGGAGGAGAGGGGACGAAAAGAATTAAGCGAACGGGTCGGAGGTGAGTACTGAGTCTCGAGGATGGAAGGGGTTGCAGCTGCGGGCCGGGGACGAAGGGGGAGCGATCAGCGAGATCGAGGGAAGCCGGAGGTGAGCCGTGTCGTGGAGGATCGCGTCTGTCCGGTAGGGATAAAACGTGGACCGACCGATCTGACGTGATCGCTGCCGCGACTCTGCAGTGGGGGGTTAAATCGCGGGACGCGGCAAGTTGGCAGTGGGGATTGCGCGCCGCGCCGCGCGAGTGGACCAACTGGGTTCGCCAGCAACACGCGGTTCATTGACCGAAAAGTGCCGAGAGAGCCGAACGAACGTACGAACGGGCTCTCTCTTTCTTTTCTTAGGCCCGCTACTAAAACAGAATTCGCACCGGCACTTTGTCCGCTGGCTCTCTTAGACGAGCACGTCCCAGAGGAAGTGCGACAGATATCCGTCGAGGGTGTCAACGACGACAAAAGACGCATTAGTGGTCCACGAGGAAAGTTTGCGAGCCATAAAGACGGCGGAGAAACATTGAATTGCCCCAGGCAACGCTCAATCGCTTAAGTAACTTCAATTTGGGAAAGATATTTGCGAGAAAGATTGTCTTTGAAAGAGAGATTTTGATAAGGCCAGCTCGAACACTTTGCTATTTCGCGACAGCAGTGACAAACCAATCTCGTTAATCTTATTTGCCAACCGAACGTTCTGCTCGACATTCTTTAAGGATTGAGAGGTAGTTGTAAAAATGGCTGTGCTGAGATGCTCCAATTTTTATTTTGTCTCAAAATTCTCATATTCAATTGTTTAAGAGAAACTTTCGGGGGGGGGGGGGGTGCACAAAACAATATTTGATCTAAATCTCTAAACGCAGATGATAAAAATACGTTGAAATTTTTTATTACATCTTCAGTTCAGAATTCGACTGTTGTCCATTTCTATTAATATAGATTAATTTTTATTAATATAGATTAATCTCAATTTAACTTTTTATCTACACGGAGAAAAATGTTTGATTGAATTAACTGGAATCCTGATGGAAAATAAATGATCCAGAATTCCGATTAAATCTACTAGATGTCTGGTTAAACTTACTATACAATTCTAATATACAGATTTAACCAGAAGTTCTAGTTAATTTAACCAAAAATATCTTTCTTCGAGTACTTCTACAAGTTTCTAAAAAATTATAAAAAGATAAATAATAATAAAAAGATAAGAAAGGCCTATAAACAAACAAATAACATATATATTTAATAGTAACTTTTAATATTACAATATAAAGAGATAGGACATTTTGATTTACTTATTTTCAGTTATCATAAAAAAAATCCATATAAACGCAAATCTTAAATAACATTGAATGATATTAAATACAAAAATCACGCGAGGTACATCGTAATTTTACAAACAATAATTTTCCTTATGTTTGTTACAACGGCCTGAGACATACGAGTCCATGATTCGTTGTTATGTAAACATGGGCTGAGTCAAACGGAATAGGTCGCAGAGCCAAGATGTGTCAGTTACGTATGGATATTAAATATTAAAAGTACGTTCAAGTATTCAATTTCCTCGTAAACATACATCATATTAGCACTTTGAAATGTGAGAACGAAATTTAATGATAAAGAGAGTAAATTAAACAGCGATTAAGGAGTTATGCCTACCTGTAAATTTAAAAAAAATTGATTTTTGGATTTTGATACTTTCTTAAAGTACATACTTTCAAAAATATTCCCTATAAATTTCAAGTCAATTGGACAAAAATTTACGAAGTTATGTGAGTTTAAAGGTATACTGGTTTGAATGTGTAAAGCAGGTACTTTACGTGAAATTGCGTATTTTTTTTTATTTTATACAGTCTGAACTATTGGGGGAAAATGTAGGGGATTTGATTCTAACTGTTAGGGGTTTTTGGGGAATTCTAAGATATGTTTTAGGAGACACCCTTTCAAAATCACTTGACAAACTCTAAACGCTTTTTGTTCAAAACCGCATTTTTAAAATAGGTGACCAAAATATCTCGAGAACCGCTGCATCGATCAAAATAAAATTTGGTAGGCTTCTTTAATACTAAAAAAATCTAGTGCTCGATCGCGGCTTTTTTTATTCGTTAGATATTTTTTTTTACTGATAAAAAACGAGCGAACTTTGGTAGAAAATCGTACTTTGAACAGCCTCCATTTTGTCGCAAATTAATTTTTCAAAAAATGAACGATCGGGCACTAGATAATTTTATATATTAACTAAATTTGTCAGGTTTTTTGATTTGAGATAAACCAGCTCAAAACTAGAGTGGTCACCGCAAAACGCTTCTAGAAAAACTGCTTCTGGGAAATTACTCACATCTTCCTTATTTATCGATATTTTGCAATAAAAAAAAAATATTTAATTATCCTCGAAATACATATATTTGAAAACATAAACGTTCATTTCAAAAGCACTTCAAGTTTTTTCAAAAAAAAATTCCCAAAAATACGTGTTTTCCGACCATGCAGGTAGGCATAACCCCTTAAAGTTAATCCACATATTGATAGAAATAAACTGTTAGATATTAAAGAAGTAACGGTAATCTAATCCTTTGAATTAAATAACATTTTTTTATATTTTCATGTGAGTCAAAATCAATCTATTTTTATTAAAACATAGATTACAAACAATTCTCTAACGCTCGTATAACTTTCAAACAAATTAATAAATAGTAACCCAGGTCAACAATTAAACGAGCTATAATTAGATGTGACAATGCAAAATTATTTCATAATATAATTTTCTACCGATACGTTTCGACTATACTTAGTCAATTTGTCGAACAATAAAACAGTAATAATGAGTCATAATCCAACCAATTCGTCGATTAACAGCGAGAAAGGGCAGTCAGTGTGAGTAAAAGAAAGTTTCCAGTAAAATTACAGATGTAGATTGATGTCAAATTATATAAAATGGTTGTGCGTGCGTCCTTAATACTATTGGTAGATAAAATATTCATGAGACAAATACACATAATATATTTTAATGAGTTAGCAGCTGTCTATTGCGTTTGCAAAGTAAAAAATTTAGAGTCGGATCCTATTCACATGATACAAGATCTTGATTGCAAGAGAGTTAAACGCGACACCATGATTATGACTCATTATTACTATGTTTTATTGTTCGACAAACTGATTAAATATAATATGGTTGCGTTTATACTGACTACTGAAAATCGAAGTTGAGATGATCCTTTAAATATGTTAATTTAATTTTTATTATTTCTGCAACTGATGAGGACTAAGTATAGTCGAAACGTATCGGTAGAAAATTATATTGTGAAATAATAAATTTTGCATTGTTACATCTAATTAAGCTCGTTTTATTGTTGACTTGAGTTATTATTTATTAATCTATTTTTATAGTTGGTTTTAAACAGCAACCCTATTAATGTGTATGCACTTAAAATAAATAGTAAATTTAATTTGAGTCAAATTTGATACATTTTCTTGAATTAAGTTTTTAATTCTGGTTTCATACGGAAAAAACGGTTTAATTGACGTGTAATAAAAATAATTAGCTAGATACAGATCTGAAAGTAATTCTGTTGGATTAAAAAATAATTATGTAAGACTTTCAAATATAATGAGTAATATTGTAGTAAATTCTGACATTCTAGCAACTAGTTTGAACGTCTTACATAATTATTTTAATAATCCAACAAAATTGTTCTTTGCATATATAATAGTTAAATTAACGATATATTAAGTAGACGCAATAGCGTTTTATACACGAAAAGAAGTGTCGATTTTGAAGTGTCTAAAAATTTAGGTAGATACGGATTTGAAAAATTTTGTTGGACCATCAAAATAATTATGTAGGAAAATCAAGCAATGCTATAAAAACTTTTAGCTGTCTTATACAATTATTTTGACAATTTAACAAAATTATTTTCAGTCCTGTATCTAGCTAAATTTTTAGATACTTCAGCAAAATCGTTCTTTCCATGAATAGAAATAATTAAAAATAATTCGAAATAACTAAAATTGGTATAATCTGACATAATAAGTTCAACAGTGTGAGTTTCTGTATGCACTTTCGACTCCATTTCCAACGAAACGACTACGACGTATCAACGTCTAAAAAGAAAAAGAAAAGAAGACAACTATTGCCATCTTAGACACATGTTATCCCGCGTTCCCAGGATGGTAAGCAGCGCGCTGGTATCGGCGCAGCCGATCGTGAACCGTGGCGGTTCGATGACTTATTTCCACGATCGGCGCAACGACTGCGCGTTTCCTGATCGAGGTGGACCACGGCGCGGTGGCGGGACGAAGGGAGACGCGGCGAACGTTTACGAGAAAGGGATGAAGTCCGGGCGTAAGTAACTTCGCGGCGGGACTACCGTCGTCGGTGTGGTCGCGCAACACGGCGCACACTTGTCGGGAAAGGAGATGCGCGGCTCCGCGGTATAATGAACCTGGGAAACCGGTTGCATTCGCGCGAGCGCGAGCGCGAGCGTACGTACAGATCGATTCGCTCTCTCTGTACTT